TACACTATCCCTAGTGTTGGCAGAGAACCATCGTTCTTTTACACTCTCCCAGTGTAGGAAGAGAACCCTTCGGCTGTTCACACTCTCTAGGTGTGGGCAGTGAACTCTTTGGTTGTTCACACTCTCCAAGTGTGGGCAGAGAACCCTTGGGCTGTTTACACTCTCCAAGTGTCGGCAGAGAACCCTTCGGCTGTTCACACTCTCCAAGTGTGGGAAGAGAACCTTTCGACTGTTCACACTCTCCAAGTGTGGGAAGAAAACCCTTCGGCTGTTCACACTCTCCAAGTGTCGACAGAGAACCCTTCAGCTGTTCACACTCTCTAAGTGTCGGCAGAGAACCGAATCTCCTTGACAGATCTTCTCACAAGAAATCTAAAAGAAAGAAAGAAAGATTTAAATCCCAAATCACAAGTAGAGATTCTTACCTTTGAATACCAAGTGAAGCCTTCATGCTCCAGTAGTAGAAATCCTCCTTCGAACACTCTCTTACACTCTCTCCTTGACTCGTCTTTCAATAGGCACGAAGATCAGTGGACAAAAAGATTTTGTGGCAGTCAAAATTGGACTTTATATAGGAGAGACAAGAAAAACCATCCAAAAACTTTAAATATTCAAGTCAATACGCATTGGATCGTCCCGTACGATCGTGGATCGTTCTGGACGATTTTACTTAAGTGCGTTGGAAACGAACCTAATGTATATGGGTACAAAATGACTTCGTACACACACATCATCCCGTACAACTTGGTTCATCCGGTATGAACGGTTATTCCATAGGTCGGTTCCCAAAAACTGCAGAACATCACTAAAATTTCAGAGTCGGTTCACTTCGTCCTGGGACGAATTATGGGTTCATCCGGACGAAGTTTTTCCAGAGAGCAAATCCTCCCAGGACAAATACTCTTCGTCCTAAATGATAGTACTCTAGAGAGCAACTCGTTCTGGAATGAATACACTTCCTTCTTGAACGAAAATTTTCTAGAGAACATTTCATCCTGGGACAAATTCACTTTGTCCTGGACGATCAGGACTTAGAAAAATTTTCTCCGACTCCTGCTTGTTCCATTGCTCTTACGAGGAGATAACTGACTTGATCATCCCGTATGAACTATGTTCGTACCGTACGATCAATACAAATTTCTTAAGATCTCCTTAAGTTTGTGTGTATTCACTCAATTACAATCACTCCCTTTCAAACTTAATTCAAAGAAAAATACAAGTTTTAAATACACAAAGTATCTCATGCTGAATTTTATTTGAAGTCTTTGTAGTCCAAAGTTTGATTTTCCTGAAATGTTAGTACACACAAGAGCAAAAACAACTCTTCCAAAAAAAATTGTTAGGAGATAACTATACATAGAACAATAATATTTGAAATCATCAAAACTATACAAGTTGCAAGAATGTAAAACATGCAAATAGCAACTCTCTTAACACTTATCCCCACCTCTCCTCTTCCTTGGATGGTTATGGGGGACCTAAATTATTTCAGATTTCATGATGAGAAGGCTGGCGGTTCTCCTGTTTTGGCTAGCAGGCTTTCTGAGCTAAATGGTTTAATTTTCGACTGTGGACTACATGATCTGGCTTATGTTGGTCTATTTTATACTTGGCACAACCAGCGCAATGACCATCCTATTCATATCAAGTTGGATAGGGTTTTAGTTAACTCTAAATTCCTTGACCACTTACCCCAAGCCTATTACAAAAGTCACTGTCCCCATTTGCTCTGATCATTCTCCCCTCATCACCTCCATCTCTACCCCGAATTGCCTTCATAACTGGTTCTTATTTAAGAATTATTGGACTTTTATGGATGGTTTTTGGGAAGATGTTCTTACATCTTTCTCTCAACCTTCTCATAAGAGCCTCACTTGTCACCTTCACCATTGCTTGAAGATTCTCAAGGGTACTTTAAAAAAGAGAATTTGTTCTTCTTCCAATTTTCTTTCCAACAACATCTTGAAGCTTAAGAACAATCTGCATATTTTCTTGGAGAACATTCAAACCTCACCCCTTCATCCCACCTTGAATAACTCTCTGAAAGAGATTAACTGTAAGCTTGCTAGCCTTCAAGCTTCTTGGGCCTCTTGGGTTTCCCAACGTGCTAAAGCCAAATGGTTGTCGCATGGTGAAGATGATCTGGGTTTTTTATATGCCAAAATCCGTGCTAGAAAGAATCACAACAATTTGTATGAAATCTCGAATGCTGACGGTTCTTATTCTTCTCATCATGATATAGCTGCCTCTTTTATACAACACTTCAAAAAACTTTTTAATTCCCCTAAACCCAGCAATGCCTCTTTTTTCTATATTAATGGTGGAAATAGCATTCCTCCGGATACGGTTAATTCCTTTGTTCTTCCCTTTTCTTATGATGAGATCAAAAATGTGGTGTTTGATGGGAGTGACTCCTCCTCCCCTGGTCTTGATGGTATTTCGTTTGCCTTTTATAAGAGAACTTGGCATTTAACGGGGCCCCACATTTGTAGAGCTGTGATGGATTTTTATTCCAGTGGTTACTTACCAAGGAGTGTTAAGGCTACTACCTTGGCTTTGATTCCAAAAGGGACCCATGTCTCTATAGTTTCTGACTACAGGTCTATTTCACTGTGCAATGTTTTATATAAAATTATGGTTAAGCTGGTGGCTAATAGGTTAAAGGTTGTGCTTCCCTTTATTATCCATGAAAGTCAAATGGGTTTTATCAAGGACCGATGCTCCACGGATAATATTCTTCTAGCTTCTGAAATCCTAAAAGGTTTTAAAAACTCTTTTTGTACAAAGCTGGATATTTTTAAGGCCTTTGATTTTTTTTCTCATGATTTTCTCTATCAAAGGCTTAATCAGAAAGGTTTCCCTAATAAGTTCATTAAATTGGTAAAAGGATGTATCTCCAATGTGTTCTTCTCTCCATTTGCATTAATGGATATTTGAATGGTTATTTTGGCTCCTCATCTGGGCTTAGGCAGGGATGCCCTTTATCTCCACTGCTATTTTGCATTGTCATGGATGGTTTTTCTTGTACCTTGGAGAATATGAACACCCCCCCCCTTATTGGCTCACATATTAAAGACTTCACGGTTTCTTATCTTCTATATGCTGATGACGTTTTAGTTTTTGGCAAAGCCACTCCTTCTAATGCTTCTACCCTGGACAATGCTATTTCGAAATTCTCTAATGCCTCAGGTCTCTCTATCAACTACTCCAAGAGCTCAATTATTTTCTCTTAGGATGTCTCTGTTCAGAATATTATTGGTGATGCTCTTGGCATTCCTAACACGAGCTCTTCTCTCAATTATCTAGGCATTCCCATTGTTGCCTGCCGTCTCAATTTTTCTCACTTCCAACCAGTATTGACTAAAATTTTTACTCTACTTGATGGTTGGAAAGTAAAATTTCTTTCTTTTACAGGTAGGATCCAATTTATTAGGTTCACTATTGCTAATACTCTTGCTTATTGGATAAGGGGGGCTATAATACCCAAATCTTGCCACCAAAACTATTTCCAGGCTTTGTTCTAGATTCCTATATCATGGTAATATTACAGACAAGAAAATTCATTTAATTGCATGGGGCAAAACTGCTTTACCTACTCGTTTGGGAGGACTTGGTATTCCCTCTTTGGATGCTCTGTGTCATGCCAGTTTTTGTTCCTTCATGTGGAGGTTTTTTACTAGGAATAATTTGGCCATGTCTTGGTTTAAAAACAGATATTTCTCCCCTTGGAAACCCCTCAATACTAAGGCTTCTAAATTCTGGAAGAAGATTCATGCTACTGCCCTTTTGGTTAAAACCAATTTTTCTTTTGCTTTCTCTCTTAACTGCAATTTATCTATGGAATGGGATCACTGGTACAATGGAAAATCTCTAAATGACATTCTCCCATCCTTTAAGTTTTGGAAGTTTTGTGTGAATTGTTACACGGATAGCAACGGTTGGGTTCTGCCTTCTTCGACCCCTAATTTACTACTTCTTGAAATCTCTAGCATTATTGTTGCTGAGCAACCGGCTGTGGCCTAGGATGGCTCTCAATTCCCATCTTTCCTACTTTTTATTCCAGTTATTTCAAGCATTTGGATGAGGTAAATTGGCACATTTTCATTTGGCATAAAAAATACTCTTTGCAGTATTCTTTGTACGCTTGGATGGCGGTTATGGGCAAACTTAAAACTACTGACCTCCTTCGGTTGAGGGGGATAGACGTTTTTTCTGGATGCTATTTTTGTGCTGTTGGCAATGAGTGTCATTCTCATTTGTTTTTTGGTTGTGATTATACTTTTACTGTCATATTTCCTCTGCTTCCGTCGCTGGGTGTTTTTCTTCTGAGGCCTAATCTGATGCAAATCTTTGACTACTTTGGGAGCTCACAACTTTTCTGTAACTGGGAAAAACAATTCTGTTTTTTTGGTGATTTGCTGCACTATTTGCTTTTTATGGAGGGAGAAGAACTCTAGAAGATTTGAACATATATGGAAAAGCCCACCTGTGATTGTTGCGAGCATTCGTCACGCTATTATAGACAAATTCAAAAACTGGAAGAATCTCAATGAGCTTAAGAACTGTTTTGAGATCCCCTGCTGATTTTTCTTCACTGCTGTCTGTTTGGTGGTTTTTGCGGGCGATGATGTTAGTATTGCTTTTCTGCCCCCTTGGACGACAGGGGTTGTATTTTTTCGAGCCAAGTGCCTTTGACGATCTACAAATGACTCTTATTCTGCAACCAGGGGGTGTCGTCGATCCGTTGGCAATATTCTGAGCCCGATTTTTGGTCGCTCCCACCAAATTCTTGTTATTTGCTTTTACCTGTAATTTTGCTAGTTTTGTTTATTTTCTTCCACTTGAGAGCTTCTTTACTTTACAGATTTTATATCACATGTAACTAGTTCTTTGTTTTAATGAAATATGGGTATTTGCCCTCTATTCCCCACCCCCCAAAAAAAAGATTGGGCCAATTTGGCTGACAAGATAGAAATAAAAATTAAAATTCAATTGAATATACCGGTGTGTCCAACCCACTTATCAACATTAAAGCTGCTTCTCCTGCCCTTCCACGGCGCAGCAATGAATCACCTTTCAAGGTCTCTAACGTACTCACTCTCTTTCTTCCAGAGGACGGCACTGGCGCCGCTGGAGGTTCATGGACACCAGATGCAGTGGATTCGCGGGATTAGGGTTAAGGTATTTAATGATAATTTGGAGCAAGCGCTGAATGTTTTGGAGAGGAAGATGAAGTCTAGCGGAATGGAGAGGCTTATCAAGCGCCATACTGACCATCACGTAAAGAACTCGGAGAAGCGCGTTCTTGCTCGCAAGAACCTCGAGCTCCGGATCCGTTCCGAGGAACTTTCCCGCAAACTCCGCTCCATCCTAGTCAAGAAGATCAGGTATGCATCCAAGTGCAATCCCCAGAATATTTAATAAGTTCTTGTTTTAATAATTTGATTCTTTCTATTTACTCATATATAGAAGCCTATTTTATTGTAGCAAGAAGAAATCCTCTGAAATTGTATCAAGCTATGGCTCATGGGTTTTGATTTCTTGGGTTCCTTTGATATGTGCATGAACTTGAAAAGAGAATGGATTCATTAAAAGATCCGCTTTTGTGGAGTTTGTGAGATTTTGTTGTGCACATTTTAAAAATTTTCTTTAAAGAAGATGAATATGGTAACTCATGGTAATTTTTGTATCAAGAGGTTAGTTTTGGAAAAATTGCCTATCATGACTAGTGATTCGAGGCTGCGTTGATAATTAGAGTGCTATTTTTGGTAGCATCCCCTGTTATGATAAGATACAGCTTTGCATGAGAAAATTTTGTCAATGTTATACTTAAGATCAAATTGTTGCAGCTGAATTGTCGTTATTAGTGATCAATAGAAAGATTATGTTTTACTTTCTATTAGATGTAGAACGGAATGCCCTTCTGAAAAGCAATATATTTTGTCTAGTTCATTATCATAAATATTCAACTATCAATTAGTAATGTTTTGGTTTGGTTGGGTTGTTTGAAGAGAACAGAGACAAATAAATGATATTGCATGCAATTTCTGATGGTATTGGCCAAAAAACATTTCAATAAAAGATTAATTTCCCTATGCTCATAGTGAAAACCTTGGAGAATGATGTTTTATTTGCAGGGAACCAATATAATGAGCAGTAGACCAATATAGTGAGCACTAGGTTATCCTTTCTTCTTATTGACATTTTATATGTTGGATTATGTGGTTTATTGATTTCTAGAATACAAAGGATTTTTGTTCCTTAAGGAAGTCCCATGTCCACCCATTTAGTCTTTTGATATTTTTTCTCTTTCATCGAAGACTATACCATACATAGTTACTTGAGTTTACATGTTTAAAATTTGAAGTCCTCTATGTATTCAAACCATTCTATTAAAAAATAAAAAATAATTTTCTATTTAAATTAAAAGTCTTCACACTGATAATGCTTTTGAATTTATATATATAATCTTTTTTTTTTGTTCGTTTTATGCTGAAAGTGATATTGTTCATAGCCTATCAATTAAATGGAGTAGATGAATATAAAAATCTTCATGTTCTTAATGTTGCTTGCACCTTGATGTTTCACATGTATGTTTCTTACTAATTTTTGGAGGATGTCATTCTTGCTATTAATTATATAATCATGTGTCATTATTAGTCTGAGCTATACTACTCCATTATATATTATTTATTCCCATAAATCTCTTTTTTACCCAACCCATTATATCTTTGACTATGTGTGTTTTATTAATTCTTTACCCTAGGTCGTGTTAAACTCTTCTTGAGCCATTCGATACATATTTCTCTATAATTATTGTACCAAAAAAAGATTATCGGTGTTACGATCCTTTTATAGGAAAGTTTTATGTATATTTTGTTGTTACCTTTCATGAGTATCTCACTGTTTCACTCCTACTTTATCTTCAATAATAATACCCTCTTTTTGTACCTCTACCTCCTTTATCCCTAATGCATGCATTTATCTTACATGTTTTTACTCACAATTCTTGACTGTCTTTTTTTGAAGCACCTTCTCCATCTCGTTTAATATGGTTGAGTACCTGACTTCTACTGAGCCTTAGTTCTACATCATCCTATTACCCTTCATAAAGGTAAACACATACTCACTGATCGTCTAGCTCACTCTTTTATATCTTCTGATCATTTCTCCCCTTCTTTTCATTGCTTTTCCTTGTCTTGTCTGCTATTTTTATTTTAGGACATCCTAGAGGCTCTTCTTATCCTTAATTGGAAGCGTTTCATGGACGAGAATCAGTGTTCTTCTTGATCATGGAACTGGTTGCACTCCCTCTATGTTTAAACCCATTTTATGTTGATGGGACCTCATAGTTATTTTCTATCTAAACGGCTCCATTGATCACCACATTAGTTACTTGGTGGTGAAAGGATATACTTAAATCCATAGTGTTGGTTACTTTAAGACTTTTTCCCTAATTACTTGACTTAATTTCATTTTCCTTCTCTTTATCATTGTTAATCAAGTTCAGCATATGCTTCAAGTGAATCTTAGTAATACTTTTATTTATCGAATTCTTATTGAAGTTAATATGGAACTCCATAGCATGTTGCTCGGGGGGAATAAAATATGCAAAATTTCAAATCTATATGTGAAGTGAAACAAAGCCCTTTTACTTTGTGAAATTTTGTAAGTTTTTTGTTGGTATTGTATTATCAAGTAGTTCTACTTATATTCTATCATTAGTCAGCTCTCCTCCTTAAGCCCAAAGATTGTTGTTATGTATGTTGATTATTTTTTACTTACTAGGAGTAATATTTTAGGCAATACATTAAATATAAAATGGTATTTTTAGAAGACATTTGTCTATAAAGATCTAGGGAGTCCCAAGGAAGGGTTTTCTAAGCATCGAGTTTGCATATATCAATGGAGGCTTTTCTCTTGAAGAAAATATGCTACAAATTTTCTTAAAGAAACCAGTCTTCTTAGCTGCAAGCTTGCTGACCCGACCATTGAAATTGTACAACCATCTGAGAGTGATGAAAGCTTTGAATTTGCTTCTTGTTTTAGACAATTGGTTAGTAAGCTGAACTGTCTGATATATCCTTTTCGTTGGTGTAGTTGGCCAGCAATGTAAAACTCAATGAAGAATCGCTAGAATGTTATCCTTAGAATTTTAATATAATATATAAATTGCTAGGAAAATGTATTTGTCTATTAGAAACATAATCATTAACGGATTAAAGTTTTTTTTCTTTTAATGCTGTCCACGTTAAATTTATTGAAGAACTAAAGTCAACTTCAAGATAGTGTTTTTGTTGGAGGGAATCTAGTGTCTTGAAAAGGTAAGAACTGGACCATTGTAACAAGATTTACTTTTTAAGATGAATATCAAGTCTTGGCTCATTCTACTTGTGAAATGATGTGAATTAAAATTCTAGTAGAAGAATTTAGTTTTCCTTATTACACAACTTATGATCTTTAATTGTGATAATTAAACAATAGTCTACATTGCAAGCAATCTTAGCTTTTATTAAAAAAAATCAAACATATTGAAGTGAATTGCCATTTCACCAAAGACGCAATCCTATCAAAGAAGATTATCATTTCATACATCTCTAATGAACTACAGATGATATATTTACCAAAGCTTTAGGGTCTTTTAATTTTTTTCAATCTTTGTAGTAAGTGAAAACTTTTTCAGATATGTTCTCCAACTTGAGGGGAATTGGCATCATATAAACGTGCTAGATTGGAATTTGCTATCATAGAAAAGTGCTATTTGTGTATTATATCCTTATAATTGAGGATTTTCTTCTCTTTGTTATCTCTTATATTCTTCCTGTTTGGCTATATTTAGACACCATTATCATGCCAATAATACATAACAAATATCTTTCCCTTTCCAACATTTCTCATTAATTAATAACCACTTGGTATTTTCATTTCTCATTAATAATAGTTATTTCTCAGTTTTCCTAGTTAATTAGCTTATACATTAATTAATCAATAATTAATTTGAAAGTTAACTTTTTAATTAATTGATCTATAGTTTGTAAGTATTCGTGAATGAAATTGTTAAACAATGACTAATTATCCTAATTAATTGTTAATTATTCTAATCAATTGATTTATGAAATGATTTTTATTTTTTTCACTATTAATCAAATCAATTCCTCAGCAAGCTAAAGCTTTTTCTTCCCTTTAAAAAATTTAAGTGTCATCCTATCGTTTTTTAGGCCTTTAAAATGGCTTTAATATGCTAAAAACTAAGTATTTGGCCTCGTTTTGTTTATCTAACTAGTCAGCCAAATAAGTTCTAAATGTCCATTCAAGGCATTTAAAATAATTTTCTTGCATCATAAATGTTACAGTTGTTATCCTATTGTTTTAAAATTGGTAACTTCCTTTTAGTCCAATTTGCGGACGATAAGTTCTAAATATTTTGCTAATATCCTTACAATTAATCAACATAATAAAAATCACCCTATCTATAATCCTATTCACCTCAAGAAATTTATCTTTTTACTCTTTATCCACCATCATCCTCATCCCAATTTTATTTTATCCTTCCCAACAAACAATAGTTTATGATATTCTCCCTTGTCTACAAGATTCTTGTGTTTTCATTTAGTCTCTTGCAACCATATTTATTTTATTTCTAGTTTCTATATCCATAAATTCTCGTATAATCTTATTTAAATTTTCAATAAAATATAACAATTTTCAAATTAATTTTACACTCAGTAAATCCTTACATATTTTTCATTACATGTGTTGCATGTCATTTGTCGGTGATGTCATGTCCAACATTTTCCTGCTCGCTCTCAATCATGTTATGCTATACTGCATCACCTATGATGATCACATTAATCAATAGTTGCCTATTTTACGACAATTATATTAGGTTGTGAGGTATTAATTTTGGATTTATTTCATAAACTTTAGCTTATGCTTCATATAACTATTAACCTCACATCAAACTTTAACATTTCTGGATTTGGGACCAATTTTTTGACTTTTGGTTACTGATTAGTGCCAATGTTCTGTTATGCCACTAGATTGTACAGAACCCTATTTTGTAGGGGGCTCATTCCTTCTTTTTTCTTTGATTTTAATGAGTTGGGCTCTTTTTTTGGTTTCTTGATGTCCACAGGCACTTAAATAAAAAAATCAGTACATGTATTTTCAGAGTTACAATGCCTTGATGCATTTTCACTATAAATTTGTTGTGCTATTATTGTGTTAATGATTTCATCTTAGTTATGCATCCCTTTCTTTCATATTATGTAGGAATGAATATCCCATACTATCAAATATATGTTTTTGTATCTTCAGGTCTTAGATTTGTATAATGTTATTATTCAATTTTATGATTTTTATTTTTCTTTCTTTTATTGTCCTGACGCAGGGGTCTATGAAGATTGCAGCTGTAATGGGAAAATGAAATCGGAATATAAAGCCTCTCTTATGTTTCATTAGTGTGTCTGTTGATTTCTATGAAAGGTACTTTTAATAGCTTAGCTGATGTTTTTTTTTTTTAATATAATTTATTTGAAGTTATCCTAGGTTTAATACAGCTCCTTAGTAAAATTTTGTTCTGGAACTAAACTCATTAGTAGTGAACTTGGCCTTTATTTGAGATCCCCAGTTATGTAAAATGAGCCTTTATATTTTATAATACACAGTGAGATATTAACGAATCATTTTTAGGGCTGTGAAATTGATTCAAAAATCAAAAGCTTGTCTAAAAAATAGGTCTATGTTTGAGTTGGATCAAAATTGATAAGTTGAGTCAGGTGAGCTTCAAATCAAATTGAAATTGAGCTTGCATGAATTGAGTTGACTTAAGCTCAAATTTTGATCGAAATATATTTACATTCTATGTATGAGAAAAAAATGTAAATTATATTTTCATGAATGTAAATTATAACCGGCCTTGCGATGACCCGGTTAGGAGAGTAGAGGTATTAGATTTGACTTATGTTAAGAAAGGTAGGGGTAGACCTAAAAAGACTTGGTTAGAAAATATTAGGAATGACCTTTCTTTTTTAGATTTAAACGAGAATTTGACTTTTAATAGGACACAATGGAGAAAAAGGATTCATGTAACCGACCCCACGTAGTGGGATAAAGGCTTGATGTTGTTGTTGTTGTTGTTGTATGAATGTTTAACATTTATGTTATGTATCTGCATATATAGACATATGGATATAGGAATGGATGTGTTTTTGACTTGTCGGGCTAAGTTTTTGTCTTCAAATATTGAAGGTTGATTAATCGGTTGCTCCTGTGAGGTTTACAGTAGGCACTTTTGATGACTTTTCTACCCCTAAAGTAGGCTTAAAAATAGCCAGAAAGACAAGGAATAGACTAATGTAGGCTCAATAGCAGCAGCAACGACAGCAATATGTGTGCTCAAGTTTGAACTCCAGACAACTAGTATTATGTTTTGCCTTGCTCTGTTGAGGAGAAAGAACCCGGATAACTAGGAAGTTTATTTTACTTTCTTGACTTTCATTATACTCCTAGCATGTTATCCAGGTTACCACTGAGTCATTTTTATGTGCTGATTGAGAAGATTGAACAGGTCTTAGATTCTGTGTAGGATGGGGAACCTGACCCAAAGCAAAAGGTAGTCACTGAGATAGCCTTAACTTCTAAGCATATTTTTCACAAGTTCTCTTATCATCCATATCACATTGATCATTCTAGTGAGAGGCTCAGTTATGTCGATTGGTCCACTGGGCTTATAACTCATTCATATTCCACTAGTGGTTTCTTCTGATATACCTGTCAGTGTTGAAGATAAAGGAAATGAAATTATTTCAGATATTTCTCCTAATTTTTCAAAGCATTCTACTAGTTCTTCTCATTTTGACAACAAATTAGTGTTAGTTCATAAAGTTTCCGTATATGGGTATCCAGGAAGATTTTTGTTGTCATTTAGGTCAATTAAGACAAACTCATGCACACATCGCATACACAAAAATTATATACCTTAGTTGATAGCCTAAGCTGTCAATCAACAAGCCAAATTGAGCTTGTGTTGAAGAAAATATACAAGTCATGGGCTTTTTTTTTTTTGGGGCAACTTTATGAAGATCCCATTGGATTTCAGAAGCTAGTAACATTGGTCATGATAAACCCCAATTTATTCTCCTCTCCACCAATAATGCCCACTCCTTCAACCCAGGATTTCGCGTAATGAGCTTTTGATACTCAATAACTTCTGTTAAAAAATAATCACATAAATCAAAACATTTATCTATCCAGCCATAAGGTAAATCCGCAGCTGCTACTCCGATGCGGAAATGATTATGCATCATCTGCATTTTTCCCTATTTTTCACATGCACAAGCTACTTTTTATTTTCACTTTTCTTTAGCCGGTACACCAAGCTCACCCTCTTTCCTCTCTCTCTCTCTCTCTCTCTCTCTCTCTCTCTCTCTCTCTCTCTCTCTCTCTCCATGAGGGGTGACACTATTTTAAATATTATTTATTTATTTTTCACTTTATTTCTCTCTAATTGTAAAATTTACTATTAATTTTTTTAATGACTTTTATTAGACTAAATTAAATTTCTTTTTATTATGTTACTTTTCTCTCTCCATCTTCACATTATTAGTATTTTTTTAAATTAAAAATTTCATTAATTTTTTTTATTAAAAAAAAAACTAAATTCTAATTTATAGGAGATTTATGTAATTAAAGCAAACAAATTACTTTAGAGGAGAATTATAATATTTAAAGTTAAATCAAGTAGCTTAAAATATGATGATTATTATAATATATAGTTTAAATAACTTTGTGTTGAAATTAATTTAGATGTGAATGAAAATAAGTTTTTTTCATTATTGTAAAATTTATCTTCTTATAATTAATAACTAAAATAAAAAAATTAAGATTATAATGTCAATTTCAAGCTCTAACAAAAAAGCTTGAGGGTATTTTTAAAATTAGAAATTTGTGCCTCTTAGATAAAATATTCTGGCTCCGCCAGTGGTCGAGTTCTGATAGCATCTCTTCTCAGCCAGTGCATCAATCAACACAATCACAGAATTGGTGGCACGCTGCTCATCTTGGTGTATTAGTTAGGAGCTTTGGCTAACTACTAAGAGATTTTTTATTTGAATTACGAATATAATGTATGTGTGAGTTTGTCTTAATTGACTTAAATATCCCAAAAAAATGGGCAATAAATGAGACAAGTTAATAATATAATGTATCTTGAAAAATTTACAAGTGATCTAAATGAAAAAGCTCTTCTTATTCCAATATATTCATTTTTTTTTCAATCTGTGCAACAAGTTGGAACTTATTGATATGCTTACTCTCCTGCTTGAGAGGAATTGCCATCATAAAAATGTGCTAGATTGAAAATTGTTAAAATAAACAGTGCTAGATTGGAAATATATATTTTTATTATTAGTCATATCCTTGTTGTTGAGGATATTTTAGTCATAATCTCTCTTACAGAACAAATATCTTTCCTTTCAGACATTAATCATTAATTCATAACTAATTGGTATATTCATTTCTAATTAATAAGATAACTTTATTAATTATAGGTATGTTTAATTAATCAATAATTATTTTGACTTTTAACTTACTAATTAATTGATTTATAGTTTGTTGGTTTAAATCATGAATGCAATAATTAAAAATTGACTAATTAGCTTAATTATTTCCTAATTATTCTAATCAATTGATTTATGAAATTGGCAAGCTAAAGCTTTTCATCTTCCATTTAAAAATTTGGTTTCCAACTTATCTTTTTTAAACCAATAAAATTGTTTTAGTTTGATTAAAACTAAGTATCTACCTTACTTTACTCTCTAGAAAGCCAGCCAAACAAAACTCTAAATGTCCATTGAGGTCATCAAATCCAATTGTTTTAAAATTGGCTTACAAACCTCCTACTTTAAAAGCATTGAGGTCATCCCTTAACAGTCACCTAGAGTAATCATCAGATGTAAGACATTGCAATGGACAATATAGGGTTTGACAGCCAAGGTAAATAACCTAGGATTGGGTTCAATGCTTGATGAAGCCATGTAACACTATATCAACACAGTGTCAAGCTTGGGATGGAGTTTTAAAATTTAAGGTTTGAATGACATCACTATTGGCCCCTATACGACGAACAACATCTAAGTGGAGCGAAACTAGCTAATATAGCGGCGTGCGCTTTAACAAAACACATCACTTGAAAGGTCAAATGACCTTCAATTGCCAATATGATTGCGTCATTACGATCAGGACATCAAATTCTTCTGGGTTGATGCCCCTCGCAGTCAAATTGGACCAGACCAGTCCTAAGGGACAATTAACAGCCAATACTGACAATGACCGATGCCCAAATGACGTCCGATCGCAAAACGGATCACGTCGTTACATCCAGAACGTCTTCAACACTCAAGTATTGCATTTCCTACGTTCAATTGGGATCATCTGAAATAGTGTCACAGATCCCAAAGCAAGGGCACACATATCTAGCAGATTGGCCTCGACGCTGCCTAAACGAAGTTTGATCGCGAAACAGACTTCATTTTTACATTCAGAACATCCTAAATACATAAGGATGATAGCCAATTTATTCAAATTAAAATGTGCGAGGAAGTCGACGCACACCACAAGGGAGAGCATGAAAATCGAGGAAAATTAAGGTGGTTCTGAAGCAACAACATGCATTTCAAGGAAAGTCAGGCTTGGCACTGCCCAAATAATGTCTGATGTGAAACAAAATATGTCGTTGCAATCAAAACATCGACAATATCCTAAATCCATTATTAATTTGTTTAATTACGATTGCTCGACGATATCGACTTGTATATGTGTTTATTCATGTATATGCATGTAAATAAGTATATGTAAAAGAAGGCTTATGCATAAAAAAAAAAAAGAGAAAGAGGGAAAGATTCAAAAAATAAGGAGGGGGAGGGGGGGAAATAGAAGAGTAAAAATAAAATAAAATAAAATAAAATAATAAAAAAGAAAGAGGAAGGACAGAATAGTTTATGCATTTGATTAACGTCATTGCCAACCGTCACACAGGTTTAATAACTCCAAACTCTAAACCCTGAGAACCCATTTCGTCGTTCGCAGCACATCGAAAAATTGTCTATACTTGCTTTTTTTGCATGGTAGAAAGGGAACCCGGTGCGGCGCCTATGATGAAACGAGTAATCATCAAAAGCCGCATTTTTTATATTTGCGGCGCACCGAGAAACCACTTATACACGCTTTTCTTAGCGTGGTGGGATGGGAACCTAGTGCGACACCTACAACGAAGAGGGGATACATATAAATACTCGTACACATGGAAACAATTGTGTTTTCAAGCAGGTGTTGTAGAAGACCCATACATGCTTTCTTAGCGTGGTGGGGGATGAAGATTACGGCTACAGTGTCCGAGGATACTTACGATACATTATTTTCTTAGTGTGGTGGGAAGGCACAATTTCCCGTAGTTTCCTCTAAATGGGGGAGACGTCAGGTGGCTATCATAATTTCATTTGAAACATAGAGGACATGAACAATATTTAGACAGTATGGAACTTTTAACTTGGACTCAAATTTGAGCAAATATAAAGCACTTTAATTCAATTTGAACATTGATCGAACATGCAAATATTGGACTCAAATCAAACTCAAATGATTGACAAAAAATTTGAACTTAAGTAAAGTAAAATTGAAATGAGAA